GTAAGTCTTACAAGATTGGAACTCTTTGCCCTGGACACATTTCATTTCCTTCTGTTTTGTCTTGTGGGCCTAACACAAATCCAAACCAAGCATCTCTTCCCCTACCCTGGCTCAAAGCTTCCGCTCTGCCTCCTTCTAAGCCAGGTTGGATTCCCAAATCCACCCAGTAGTGCCTGGCAAGCCTTTTCCCTTTCCCATGGAGACAGACATTCCTCTGTGGTTTGGGTATATTTGGGGACTGATGGGCAGGGCTGGAGGAGCAAAAGTATCACAGAGAAGTGTTATTTTGCCCACTGTGGCTTAATTCCTTTCTGAAGTTTTCTTCTGGGATAAAAATGAGGCTTCAGTTCAAAATCCTGAGGTGCTGCTCACATATTCTAGTTTCAAGAAAGTGCTGCTGTTATTTTGAGTAGTTTTGATACAACCAAATCAAAGTGAAGATTTGAAATAGCTTTTCTGAAAGCCCAAGCCGAAGTCATAAATTATTCTGCACCATGATTCTTTCTGATAGTAAAACCATACCTCTTTGCCTGACATTGCTGAAATGTGGAAAAGTAAAAGTTAAAAATAAAATGAAACATTTAAATCTTGGCTGTTGAGAACCTCAGATAGACATCAAGGCCAGTCGATAAAGGCTCCTATCAATTAGGCTTCCACGGTTATCATCTGATATTGGTTTATTAGCAATAGCACAGGTGCAAGGCCTGGGTGTTTAGAACCTGAAAGGCCAGGAAAAAATGCAAAGAAATGCCAGGAAATGGAAAGCAAGGGTTGGGGGGCTTCGAAGTCCGCTTGGAGGCAGGGGACAGAGCTTGGTGGCGCCCCAGCTTGGTGTGATCTTGCAGGAGAAAAATGTCTGCAGCAAAAGGGTTGGACGTGTTCCCTGATTTACCCCCTTTATTTGAGTTAGAAAGTGTTGATTTCACACTGCGGTGAGTGTTTTCCAGCAGCTTCTTGGTGGGTGTATTCTGTGTTAGGAAAAAGGAGCAGCGAACACCAGCCGTTGTAGCTGCCACCGGAGGACAAGCAGGCCTTCCCTGGCACCAGCAACTTCCCGGAGTTCCAGGGCTCCTCTCGCGGTGGGGACAGCCCTCGCCCTGCAGGCTGAGCGGTTTGGCTAGGTCCCCCTTCAGCATATCGCAGGCAGGAGCAATTTTTGGTTCCATAGCTGTTTGGTTGGGGAAACAAGCCTGTGGTTGCCAGTAAGGTTTAGAATTTGCCTGCCAGATAAGGGAATGTCTGCGAAGACTATTTTCCCTCTCGGGAGGCAAAACACAGATGGGGGAGTTAGGAGTCTTACAATATTTAGCTGCTACGTTGATGGTAGGGATTCTGCCGCGTGGATGCTCACAGCTTCTGAAGACCCAGTTTAGCATCACTTCTGAGGGCCATAGGTGGGGGAGATGAGTGAGACTGGCTGTGGGCAGGGTAAGGGAGGGAGCCACCATGCCAGCTTGCTCTGGAACATTCCATGCCCTGTGCCGCTTGAGGGGCAGGAGGAGGTACTGTCAGGATGTTGGCCACTTGCCCTTGACCTCCATCCTTTGGGATAGGAAGCAGAAGATGGTCTACCCGACTGAACGCTGGTCCTGCTGGCTGTGGAGAGGGAGGGAAACGGGGTCCTGTGTCTCTACCACGGTGAGGCAGGACCGTGATTTGTTGGCTCTACAGAGCAAATAGTGTCTTCTGCTGCCAAAATGCACACGTTAGAGTTAATCACCTTTTGTAGCTCTGGGTCTTTTAGATGATAATCTGAGGACTCTGAGAAGCCAAGGCAGGAGGATCATAAGTTCAAATCCAGCCTGGGCAATGTAGCAAGACTATGCCTCAAGATGTGATATTAAAAGGGCTGGGGATAGCTCAGTGTAAAGGCCATAGGTTTAATCCCCGTTACCATAAATTACAAAAAATCCCACACTAGTTTCCCAGGTCCCTGATAGATGCCCAAAACCTCAGATAGTACTAAATCCTGTGTACAGTACATTTTTCTACACATACATCACTAGGATAAAGTTTAATTTGTAAATTAGGCACAGTGAGAGATGGATGATAATAACTACTATGAAATAGAACAATTACAAGGATATGTGACAATAAACGTTATGTGAACACAGTCTCTTTCTCTCTGGGAAGGGTCAAGATGAATGCCAGTGTTCTGGGACTGGGGTCAGCTTTGGGTCAGTGGAGCAGCAGAATGTGAGTATGACCAAGGGACGCTGTGTCTGGTGTTCTTCAACGTTGGCCAGGAGAAGGCAGAGAGATTTTCCCAGATAGCCAGTGTAGAGCTTGAATCATTTTTGTGAACGGAAGTAGGATTGGAACTGTACATTTAGGGAAAAATTCTGTCCTCTGATGACCAGAAAAAGAATAGGTAGAATCAGGTAGAGAACAGGTGGGCACCTCCCTCCAACGTTTTTGCCACTCGCTTGTCCCAGAACACTAGCTCTTTGGTTCAAGAATTTTGTGTTTTTGAAGCTGTCTCACATCTGGGATCCACGAAGGGGTGGGTAGGAACAGGCTGAGCAGACTCACTTCGCCCCAGAGCTGTATCTGGGTATCCAGTGACTGCCAGAGCCAGTTGCCTCTGCTTCTCTGCCCCACCTCCCCGCTCCATCTCCCAGTTCTGGGAGGAAGGATGCTTCACTTCTGAAGCCTTAAATGCACTGCTATACAGATTCATCTTGGGGACAGCCATGATGCCACCATAAGCACCGACTGCATAGAAGCCAAAGCCATCTTCTAGTAACTCCTTCTCTCATGCCCCTCGCCTCACAAAGTGACTTCATGTCCCAACCCAAGGTAGGTCTCCGGGGGGTTCCCTGCAATCATGGGAGACAGAGGCTGGACATGTGGCTGTCTGACTTTCTATACCTCTATCTTTCGGAAAGACCCCTGCTTGGGTCATGAGGTCTAGTGACATCCAAAGGGAAATGAATCTCAGGGGCCACAGGACCTTCCTTCCCTCTGATGGACGACGCGCATGGCCCTACTGTGCTCTGAGCCCCTGCAAGGCCCATGAGCACAGTCTGCTTGGGTCCCAATCTGCCGTGGCTCCGCGTGTGAGTCAACAGCCTCCCGCGGCAGTAATTGCCTTCGTTAAATGCTGCAGTAGTGGTGCTCTGGGAGCATGGAATGGGAAGGAATGGCTGTAATTTCTATGTGATAATGATGATAAGCCCTGCATATGTGTGTGGAGCTTTGTGTCATCTTTGATCTGCATGAGGAGAAGTCGAAACTCAAAAGGATGCTTGTAATCACCTTCACATCAGTGGAAAAGATGTAGAAGGTGCCATGGCTCACTTTGCCCAGGGGAAAATCCGGAAATGCCCAGGATGATCTCAGTTCTCCAGGTCAGGTGGAGTGGGTGGAGCTTGTTCTTTCTAAACATCCCTTGGCTTTCTCTCTATCTGTACAAGCTTCTCGGCAAGGGAATAGTGGTACTCAGTTCCATCTCCCAAATATGGGAACTGAGATCTGAGAGGTGAGTACCCTGCCTGAGCTCACACAGCCAGTAGATGGGAAGGCCAAGAGGGGAATGCGGTTCCTTTTGATTTTGGGTTCCAATCTCTTAGCTATGAGGTAGCACCGTGTGCAACACTGGGCAAGATGATCAGTGTTCCTGCCTGGAGGGGGCTTATATTCTGGGAGCTGAGGGTGGTAGGCAGCAAACAAAGCAACTGAAGCTGAGATGATGTCAGGATATGAAAAATTCTGTAAAAACAGGAAAGCAGGATCATTGGTGGGGAAGTGGGAGTATCAGCACTTGAGAAGAGGCAGGTGGTACAGGACAGGAAGCTGGGAAGAGGGCCAGGTTGGATGCCTATCAGGCATGGCATGGTAGGCCATAATGAAAAGTTTTGCCTTCTTTTTATTTATTTGTGTTTTCTTTTTTGAGATGCTGAGGATTGAACCCAGGGCCTCATGCATGCTAAATGTGCCATCCCTCAGCTATATATGTAGTCTCTTCTGCTTATATTTCTTTTAATCATTGAGGGTACCTTGTGAAACCTACCTTTCCAGATGAGGAGGTCCTCCTCAGGTACCAGAATTCTAGTAGCTCCTGGCTGCTGGTTAGGTGGTGTCTTTCTTTACCTGCAGAGAGTCCTGGTGACTGCAGGTCTGCATCAGCACTGGGCAGCTGCCCTTGGAGCAACAGAGCCTGTAGCTGCTCCTCAGGACCAGCTTAGCCTTTCTGGACAACCCCAGTGGCGCAAATCCAGCTGTGGGTGCTTGAGCGGAGCTGCAGAGGGAAGGTTCCTGGGGCTCTTACTGATTAAGGAAGACTCTCACTGAGTCTGACTGTGTCCCAAGAGGAAGAGAAAGTGACCTTCCGGACCACAGATATCTCTTGTTCACTGCAGGGAAACTGAGTCACAATGGGCCGTCTGATAACACACAGTTTGAGATCCGCTTGAGAGTAAAGAGCCTTGGTGATTGTCCCTTAGGCCTTTTTCTGATGTGTGAGTCCCTTTGCCACGCCAAAATCCTGTTTTGGGAATTCTAGGTCATTCATAGGCCCTGAGAACTCCAGGACAAGCAGAAACTTGATTTTATCAGTGAAAAGACCAAGGCCCAGAAAGGCCAAGGGCTTTGCCCAGGGTCACACAGCAAAGTCATTGGCAGAGCCACAATCCAGACAGGTTAGGGGTCACTCTTTGCTGGGAAGGGAACCTGTTTGTATGTGGGTGGGGACTGTGTCATCATCTCAGCAGCTCCCACCACACCTGGTAAAATCCCTGGATCCCTTAGAGGGGTTAGCAATCGTTTACTGATATACTTACTGATGGACAAAGCCCCTTGCATCTGCAACATGGCATCATTACGATTTCTTGCACGTTGGTCTAAGAAAATCAAAGATGTAATGAACTCACATTTCTTTCTACATTTTCTAGAGTGAAAGGTCTGCCCAGGTCTGTTTGTGCAGACACCCAAGAGCAAGCAGGCCAGATGGTATTCCTAATATTGGCACAGGTGATTTGGTGTCCCCGGAGTCTCCCAGC